CTCAGGAAACTAGACTTTAAAATGCTAGTTAGCCCAATTAAAAAATGGGGCACTGAACTGAATAGAGAATTCTCAGCAGAGGAAGTTCAAATGGCCAAAAGACACTTAAGGTCATGCTCAACCTCCTTAGCGATTAGGGAAATTTAAATCAAAACAACTTTGAGATATCATCTTACACCTGTCAGAATGGCTAAAATAAAAAACTCCAATGATAGCCTTTGCTGGAGATGCTGTGGAGGAAGGGGTACCCTCATCCATTGCTGGTGGGAATGCAATCTTGTGCAACCACTTTGGAAATCGGTGTTTCGGTTTCTCAGGAAATTCGGGATCAACCTACCCCTGGACCCAGCAATACCACTCCTGGGAATATACCCAAGAGATGCCCTATCATATGACAAGAGCATTTGTTCAACTATGTTCATAGCAGTATTATTTGTAATAGCCAGAACCTGGAAACAACCTAGATGCCCTTCAATGGAAGAATGGATGAAGAAAGTGTGGAATATCTACACATTAGAGTACTACGCTGCGGTAAAAAACAATGACTTCTCAAATTTTGCATGCAAATTGATGGAAATAGAAAACACTATCCTGAGTGAGCTAACCCAGACCCAAAAAGATGAATATGGGATGTACTCACTCATAATTGGTTTCTAGCCATAAACAGGGTCACAGAGTCTACAATTGGTGATCCCAAAGAAGCTAAGTAAGAAGGTGAACCAAAGGAAAAACATATAGTTGTCCTCTTGGCTATGGGAAGTAGACAAAATTGCCGGGGAGAAAATTGAGATCTTGGGGGTGGGGTGGGATGGGGGTAAGGGGAGATGGGGAGAGAAAAGGGAGAAGGGGAGAATGGGGGAACTTGGGGAAAAAGGAGGATTGGGATAAAGGAAGGTTGGATAGGGGAGCACGGAAGCACAATTCTTAGTTAAGGGAGCCACCTTAGAGCTGGCAAGAGACTTGAACCTAGAGTGGCTCCCAGATGCCCAAGCCGAGGTCCCCAGTTAGTTCCTTGGGCAGCTGAGGATAGGGAACCTGAAATGACCCTATCCTATAGCAATACTGACGAATATCTTGCATATCATCATAGAACCTTCATCTGGTGATGGATGGAGACAGAGACAGAGACCCACACTGGAGCCCTGGACTGAGCTCCCAAGGTCCCAATGAGGAGCAGAAGGAGGGAGAACATGAACAAAGAAATCGGGACCACGAGGGGTGCACCCACCCACTGAGACAGTGGAGCTGATCTATTGGGAGCTCACCAAGACCAGCTGGACTGTGACTGAAAAAGCATGGGATAAAACTGGACTCTCTGAGCATGGCGAACAATGAGGGCTGATGCCAAGGACAATGGCACGGGGTTTTCAACCTACGTAATGTGCTGGCTTTGTGGGAGCCTAGCCAGTTTGGATGTTCACCTTCCTAGGAATGGACGGAGAGGGGAGGACCTAGGACTTACCACAGGGCAGGGAACCCTGACTGCTCTTTGGACTGGAGAGGGAGGGGGAAAGGAGTGGGGGGAGGGGGAGAAGGGTGGGAGGAGGGGGAGAAGGGTGGGAGGAGGGGGGAGGGAAATGGGAGGCTGGGAGGAGGTGGAAACTCGTTTTTTTTTTTTTGTTTTTCTCCTTTTCTCAATAAAAAAAAATGAAAAAAAAATTGAGTCGCCTTTTCAATCCTTCCCTATGCTTTTAAAAGCACTTACTTAGCATTTGGTTTATATTGGCTAATATTCTCAGATGGTTCTAGAATAATGGTTTTATTCATTCATTTAAATTCCCAATTATAATTTTATAAAATGTCTCTATTCTGTTAAAACACAGCTGTGGTTTCTACGGCGAAAGGTCAAACTCTGAAAAGCTCATTTTTCTAGGCATAATATATAGAGCATGTACTCTATATCCTTCGGGACCACATCCTCACGAATCCTGTTGCATGAACTCATATTAGAAGGATTGTGACATGGGACAAGTTCTTTCGTCTCTTTAACTTCAGTGTCATCATTAATAAAAATGAAGACAATGCTAACCTGACAGTAGTGGGTTAAGAACTGGTACATGAAACACAGGTCCACAGAAAGAACACTGAGCATGTAAGTGATGAGTATTGTGCTAATAGGTCCTTCCAGTGAATGGCCAAGCACCGAAAATGCAGTGTAGACAAAGGGCTGAGATAAACTTAGGAACATGCAGGCTCCTGGCCCCACCCTTACTTATCCTGTCATGCTTTCTCACACGAAGGCATTGGTATGTTGTTCATGTGTCCAGGTACATGGTTTAGGCTGTCCCATGCTGCTGGCAATGAGCCATTCCAGAGCTTCTAGGTGAGTTACGGCAGGTGTTTGGGCCAAACACACACAAGTAATATTCTACTATTGATCTGGCCCCGAATCTAAATTTCTGGAGAATCCTTAAATATTATTTTAAAGGGAAGGGATTATCTATCTGTCTATTGTTATCTATTACTAGCCTCCACACACAATAACTAACACACCACACACATGTGCATACACTTGAGCATGTTTGCATAACTCTGAGAGAGGAGAGAGAGAGAATACAAGAAAATAAGGACGTCAGAAAATGCATTGCTAAAACTGTAAGGGAATTGATTCAGAAGGTACCAAACTAATGGGGAAAGGGGAGAAGGAGAATGTAGGAGGAGAAAGAAGAAGAGGAATGGGGGAAGAGAGGCAGAACAGGAGGAGGGATGGAATTTAGAGCAGGGATGTATTAGTGGCAGCCATTGGGCAATGTTTGTTCCGCTGCTCTCTCTTGGGGACAGCTGCTGGAGATGGGATGGAGAGACTTAAGGGCCCTTCGACTGTATGAATAGGCATTTGTTGGCTTCAGGCCAATATCAATTTAATTTCAAGCCATTAAAAGTCTAATTTTATTGGCACCTCAGAAAGGCAGCAATTGTTCCATTTCTATGGCACAGCGATTCTTTGAGGCAGGTTAAAACCTGTCCTGTTTGCTCAAGCCTGATAAAGGACAGATGATGTCATTCTGAGAGCACTCCTGTCTTCTCCCAAGGACAAGTCCACCTAGTGGCAGTCCTCACACTACCCTGGGGGCTTAGCATTTCTTTTTTTTATTTTTTAAATTTATTTATTTATTAAGGATTTCTGCCTCGTCCCCGCAACCGCTTCCCATTTCCCTCCCCCTCTCCCGATCAAGTCCCCCTCCCTCATCTGCTCGAAGAGCAATCAGGGTTCCCTGACCTGTGGGAAGCCCAAGGACTGCCCACCTCTATCCAGGTCTCATAAGGTGAGCATCCAAACTGCCCAGGCTCCCACAAAGCCAGTACGTGCAGTAGAGAAGCTAAATAAGAAGGTGAATCCAAAGACAAACACATAGGCATCCTCATGAATATTAACCTTCATCAGGCGATGAAAGGAGACAGAGACAGAGACCCACATGGGAGCACCGGACAGAAATCTCAAGGTCCAAATCAGGAGCAGAAGGAGACGGAGCACGAGCAAGGAACTCAGGACCACGAGGGGTGCACCCACACACTAAGACAATGGTGATGTTCTATTGGGAACTCACCAAGGCCAGCTGGCCTAGGTCTGAAAAAGCATGGGATAAATCCGGACTAGCTGAACATAGCGGACAATGAGGAATAATGAGAATTCAAGAACAATTGCAGTGGGTTTTTGTTCCTACTGCACGTACTGGCTTAGCATTTCTTAAGCTTCACACCCTGGTGTCTTGTGGACAGTTTGGTCCTTCCAGGAGGCCAATAGAGCTGAAAACAGGCCTTTGTGTGGGGTTTAATGACTTCAGAGTCGACTGAACGGTACTTCACAGAAGGTGGCTCAAATGTCTTGCCACCCCAGAGTAAGGGGTAGAGTTTGGATGCTTACTGTCTGGGAGAATCCGAGCCATTGACTTAACTTTTATGAGCCCCAGACTCCTCATTTTGCTCTCAGTGTTCTTATGAAGAGCAGGTGGGTTAATGCCTGAGAAACCTGCACACGATATAGCACCCAGAAAGGACTCAGAGAATTGCAGCTGCGATGCCAATGGAGCTCCATGAATCAAAAGGTGGGGACAAGGGAAATGCACCCTGGATTTCACCTCTGTGATTATGTCCTGAGCTCCAGATGCCTTCAGCAAACTGTAGTTTACCAGTGGAGTGCTACTCCACGTGGGATACTTTCTGTGACCTGGAAGACAGCTGGGCTCCTTCATAAACTGATTGGAGGACGCGAGCTCTGAAAGTCAGCTGTAAGCGACACAGCCAATCTTCCAAATCACACATGTGTAAGCATGTGGTATATGTATTTAAGGATCTAAGGCAGGAGTTCAGGAAGAGAAGACAACCACAAATCTGAAGTCTGCACTGGATCTACTGTATGGCAGATGTCAAGAGAAAGAAGGTCAACATTTGTTGAGAAAGTTTACAACACAGTATTTTGGAAACACAAGAGAGTTTCCTCAAAGTTAGCATTGCTGTAGGTAAAGTGTGTGCTTTTGGCCACATTAGCATTCCATTGACTAATGCTGGATAAAAGAGACAAATGACTCATCGTATCTTTGTCTGATGTTGCTCCAAGATGTACATTCTTAATTAGCCAAAGCAGGTTTCTCCTTTCTCAGCCTCTTAGCAATCCCGACTCCTCTATCCCATGGCATCCACGGCATTTCATCATATTAGAATAATTTTAAATGCACACCTAAGTTAGATGAAACTATTCAATTATAGTTAGCGGTTTCCTGATTAACTGATAATATTGAAATCAAACGATACTATTACTGCAAATTGAAAAAAAAAACAAAATATATTATACAAAGTTATTTATTAGTTTATAAAAGAGTTTGTTCGTTACATCGAGAAGCAAGGCACGGGGAAAATTCCATACAAAAACTTTTATCAGTGAGTGTATAAAATAAGTGTGGCACAAGACCAGTTTGAAGGCTTTCTATCGATCCCTACACTAGTATCAGGAGGTTAAAAACATTGAGATGTCAACTGTACGTGGGTTGTTTTGTGAAGGGTTGAATGTTTACATCTAGATGCGGTAGAGAAACAGATGTGCCCACGGCACGCTCCAGGGTGGTTTTTACTAACTGTAGCAGATATCACAGCTTGTTTCCCTCTTATAGAAATCACCAGTGATGGCTGCCGAGGGGGCAAAGTCCACATAGTCTGTGCTGGGGTAGAAGAACTCTGAGGTTCTGAGGGCATCCAGATGCTCTGCTTCACAGGATGCCCAGTAGCAGACCGGAGGGGTGGCTGGGGAGAAGTGGTTGTCCTGGGAGTGAGAAGGCCAAAGGTGGTGGTATGTGTAACCTTCCTCCGGGAGGCTGTGGGTCAGGGAATCCAGGGAAGGCGGAGAAGTATAATTCTCTGGAGTGTAGGAAGGCGGCTGAGCTGGCGAGTAGCTGCAGTCAAAGGAGCCAGAGAGGCTGGAGGAATCCGAAGGCGATCCTGGAATCTAGAGAAATGAAAACCAGGGAACAAAAAGCTTGGTAACTTAGACAGGATCAAAAGTGTGGATTTAATTGTGCAAAGTGAGAAAATCAGGGGTAAAAATAAGCCTCAAGCCGTCCACTAAATCCTTAGAAGTAATCTCGTTTGCTGACTGCATGATTTCACGACACTACATCCTATACTCCCCTTTCTTTTCCCCAACAATCAATTGCCTTGCTTCACTGCCTTCCTTTGTTAAAACCATACTTTGCAGGATGTTTTGTTCTTAAACCACACAATCTCACTGTGTCTCGGGTCACCTGCACTTCAGATCCTGCTGCACGCCACAGTGTAAGCTGCAGGTGGCACCTTGGAGGTGTCTCCACACCCTTGACCATGAGAAGCCAGGTAAACACACAGAGGTAAAGACTGAGGCCTCCAGGGCCCATCAAAAACACCCCAAGATAAGAAAACCCATCCTCTGTCACCACTGTATCTCCCCACTCCCAGCTGCCAAAGACCTAGCACATCTTAAACAAGTTTAAAATCATCAATCTTGGAAGCAGAGCGGACCCCGCGTGTTAGGTCCCCATGCAGACATGCATTCTGTGGAGTTAATTTCCAGTCTTCTCTAAACTCAGTCTTTCCATTATAAAGACTTTTTGACAAACTAAAAGAAAAATGTATTCACATTTCTTCTTAAAAGAAAAAAAAAGCCTTACATTTAAAACTTTAAAAAATTACAAATTTCTAAAACATAGAAACAATCTTACTCATTTTAAAGAGAACCTATTTCTGAACATTTGAGATCCATTAAGAACAGAAAATCCAAATTCTTTCAAAGATTAGGACTTTTTAGGTCTTTGTTTGAGGAAAGGTCTCCGGTAGCCAAGGCTGTACTTCCACTCAGCACTTAGCTGAGACTTGCCTTGAACTCCTAATCCTGTCTGTGCCTCCTACATGCTGGGATTAAAGGCCTACACCACAGCACTGCCTTACTTTCTCAGCCTTAAATACGTTGCTTTGCTTATGGCAGACCAAACCAGCCAGTTAGTAGAGCCAATTCGCCCCTCAAGTCAGGCCCCATTAGGATATTTGCTATCATGTATATATAGCCTCAATCCATTTTAAGAACATAAAAATCTAAGGGCTATTTTTTAAACTACTGATTTCCAAATTAACAGTCTTAACTGAGTAGCACAGGGGGACCTTTTTATTGCCAGATATCCATTTACTTGGAAATCATTATAAATGTGTATTCAAAGGTTTATGCCTTTCAAGGTGCCCACACATTGAACTTTAAATGCTTCCCTGACTATTTCCTTGTTGATAACATTTGTAAGCTTTCTCACGAGATGATGCAAACGCTTCTACAAAGCATCTCTACCCCACAGTTAGCAACCATCAGGTTCCAGGAAGGATACAGATGAATTACCAGGCTCTGGTTATAGCAGAAAGGGGCCACTTGACAGCTGTCTGGGAAATAGTGGGGAACACTTGGTGCGGTGTTGAGCAAGGGCTCCGGGATTGTCTCTGTCTGAAGGTAGGACTCAAAGAGCTGGTCGAGGCAGCCTGGACTTTCTTCACAAGAGACACAGGTGGAAAATTCTCGGGGTTGAAAATAACTGGGCGTGGAAGACATTGGTTCTGGTTCAAAATACAGTCCTAGAAGAGAAAGGGAAATGATTTTTGCTGAAAAATTGCAAAGTAGATTTGAAAAGAGTTTTTTTTTCCTATTTATTTTATTTAGGAGCAAAGGGTAATTGACGAAATTCTCTAAAAGTAAACAGTTTAGGAATTTGGGCTGTTTTAGTTGTCTTGGGTTAATCCAAGTACCAGGGAGACATGTCCGATAACACTAAATATGGTCAGGGTAAAATATAAACAATGCGTAGTGGCCTAGCCTTCATCTAAATGTAACATTCAACGGAGAGCACATGCCTCCGCTATTTGGAGTATGGAAGCATTGACATCTTAACTCTATCTGCAGTCCAGGGAGACTTCCCTGAAGCCACAGATGGACTTGCTGTGGGCTTTGGGAAACCTGGTACTATCCTCTTGATTCAGGATTGCTGCTTCCCTAAACTGTTGGTGTATCAACTTAGAATGCCGAGGAGAGGGTTTTGAGAAATGACATTAACAGTGATGCCTACACTAAAACTGGAAGCCTAGAAAGCAGAGTAAAAATCGATAGCTCTTTGCTTGGAAGTACAGAACCAAAGCGTCTTATTTGTGGACATGTTAAGAGGAGAGAGTGCAAAGGAAACAAAAGCGATAGCAAGCCAAGGGGAATAATCTGACACACGTCACCCCCTTTCCAGGATAATAAGAACAGTCCCCAAGTGTGATAATTAGTCTCAAAGGTTCACAGGGGAGAGGTTTAGAGAGAGCCCCTTAAAGGGACTTAGAGAATTCCCAGTCTCCTTTCAGGTTAAGCTAAAGTGACGTATTTGGTGGGAACTGCCATAGGCACAGGCTTCCTTCTGTACAACCTCCTTAAATTCTTAGCTGCTGAGTGTTTATGTAATGGAGTTATTCATATTGGGCTGGGGAAACTTACACTTGTTTGAACTGCGTTCTGGGAAGAGAGTTAAGAGTGGGAAGGGAGCCCCTGTCGGCTGGAAGCTAAATGATTAAGAGCAAAGGCATCATTCTGGATATTCTGATCCCAACTCACAGTGCACTAAGAAAAGACAACAAAATTCTGAAACAAACCCTGATTCATAGTGGAGTTGACTTGCTTGGAGACCAGCAACTGGGGATAAATATGAAGGACAAAGTCTTGGGACAGAATAGACAGTACCGGATGAGGGCAAAACTTTGCCTTTCTTTCTTTGCTGGGCTTGCATCTGGAGTCACCTTCTGATTGGTTGGATTCCAATTAAATGGTGGTGCCTCTCTTAACCCCTGAGTCAGGATCTGAGGGCTTCCGAGATGGACTTTTGCAGGGGGTTGAGGCAACTGGAGAGCTGGTTGTACTGACCTGCAGGCGTCGGCGTGCTGGGGTCTGGAAGGTGGATACTGCTGCTTCCTGACAGCTGTCAAGGCAAGAAGAGAAGCTTGAAGCAAAGGGAAGCAGGCGCTGGCTGCAGGTCTGCACAGGGGAGGCTGGGCAGGGGCTTCTCCTTCTGCTCTGCTGCGGGAGTGGGGGGTGAGGTAGGAGGGGTGGGGGAGGGCAAGCATGCTAGCTGCAGGTCCACCCTGGGGAGCTGGGCAGGGGCTTCTCCTTCTGCTTTGTTGAGGTAGGTAAGACAGACTCCTTCTTCTAAGAACATGGGGCTTCTTTAAATAAAACCAGCATGATAGTTTAGATTTGATTTTATATTTGCTTATTTGGGGAGTGTATGTTTTTGTTTTTTTTTTCCTAACATTAAATTCCTTGCTAAAATGTTAAGTGATTAATTTTGATAAAGGTTAATGTAAATAATTTTTGTTACAGAAATATAACAATTCAAGAAAACTCAGTAAGCAGCCTTTTTATTAATCAATTTATTTTATAATGAATAAGAATTAACATTTACTTAATCCAACTATGACTTTAGCCAATACATTTCCTCTAGGTTTGTATCTACTACTTGGTTTCTTAGTCCTAGCGATTCATTTCCCCTAGAGAAATTAATAATAATGAGACATTGTTTCTAGATTTGTTAAATCTGAGATGCTAAAATATTCACATTTATGGCCTTTAAAATATAAAAATAATTTCTTGAAGTAGTATTTAGTGATTCAGAACCTATACACATTTGAGTTCATAGCCAGAACAATTTCAGTTCTTTGCATATTTCAAAAAACTGTTTTCTATACAATTTACTTTTAAAAATTATTGATTCTAAATGCTGAAAATTCCTAAGACTGAGCCTTTTAAATACTTAAAGTTAAGCAGCTTGCCTTTTACCAGCTGAAAGGACAATTACACTAACCGAGCCATTTGGGATGTTTCTCTTTTAGATTTCAGGCGGTGACTTTAAATTTTAAAGGGACCAGCGAGCACGCGCCGGGTGCTGTTGCTCTGGGCTAGGAAGCTACTCACCACACCTCTCTTGGGCTGCCAGGGATATACTCACTGCTGTCCCCTGAGCCACCTGCAGGCGCGGCACAGCCAGCCATGGCTCAAACAGGAGGTGTGCTAATTTTGAAAACGATCCATGGTGTAATGTCATGAACCAGGAAGCTGGAAGCCTTTACCTGCTCTTTATGCAAATATTTGACTGCAGTTTGAGCTGGAGGACTTGGGAGGAATGGGTCTTAAAAAAAATCTGCTTCATTGTAGGGCTGGTTTTTAACCCCCTGCTTCCCCCATTGGTCTGTTTGCTCGCTTCCTTGTTATCACCCAGAGGTATGTTTACAATATCCTACTTGATATTATCTTTCTAGCCCTCAGTTCACTTTCTATTTTGCTCCAAGAGTACAAAGAATAGCTCCTCTCTCTTAGATTTCAAACAGCACACAAATCCACAATCGACAGTATATAAAAACACATCAGGGGTATTAAGAAACAAAAACAATTAGTGCTAATTTTTTTTATCTTTAGATAAATACTAACTTAAGCTTTTCTTTACCTAAAGTAAAAGAAGTGGTGTGTGTGTGTGTGTGTGTGTGTGTGTGTGTGTAATTTGATATGGCGGAAATAACTTTTTAAAATTAAATGTACCTGTCTGACACATATAGTTTCTTCTGGTCACTAGAGGCTGGGGTCATCTAGCTCTGTCTGTAACCACCATTCATGATGGCTCTCTTAAAATTTCAGCTACTGCTCTGACTTCATAGCAAAAATCAAAACAGACTTATTTTTGTTTTGCAATATTTGGCACAATAAATTCTCTCCTTGGATAACTGTTTCTCAGAGACACCCTTTAACACAGAATGAACTGGATACAGTCTCTGTTAAACTAGGAAGATCTGCATGGAACAGGCACACATTATTCTCCCTGGAATGGTAACTAACACCCTTGCCGACTTAGTACACTGTTGGAGAAGCTCCAGAATCTGACATCTTTCTCATTGCTCTCAGAAAGAGATTTCACGTCTGGGTCTCCTACTGCAGCGCTATATTCATTACTCAAGTGCTGTAAAGGGCAGGGATGAGTGAGAAACTCCTAAGAAGCAGAGTAGAGACTATTCTAGCAAGCAGTGTATGTTCTTGATAGACATTGCTTTTGAAGTCCCTCTTCATTCTCAGAGGAAACTCAGAAATGTCAAATCAGAACTCTCTTAGGACCGGAACCTGGTCAAATACTTCCTCTTACTCTGCTAAGGAGCCCACAGTGGCCACACCAGCTATGAGGATCGAACAGGGACAGTATTGCTTTGCCCAGATGGGATAGATGCTCCCGGTACAGCCGAAGCAGAGCTCTGCCAAGTACAAAGGCTCCCTGCTGAAAGATTGTGTTTTATTGTAAACACCTTGGTGGGTTGATTTTTGTCTGCAAAAGCCCTTTCCAGCTCCCTTCTCCCTAGTTTTATTCATGGTATAGCTATGAACCATTAAGGTTATTAAACTACCACTTAGTATGATGAGTTCAGAGAGGTAATACTGAAAAATAAGACCACCTCGTCTCTGCCTTTAGCCTGTTATCAACTTCAAGACTTAGCTGTCATGGAGGAACACAGATTTCTGGTCTATTTATGTCATCTGCTCATTACAACCAATGAAATAATAAATATATGAGTGCTTTAAGAAAGAACACTGCAAATCTCCCTTTGCAATGTAAGGGAGCCACCTGGAATTCTGCAAACTGCGAGAACTAATCTTTCTAGCTCTAGATACCAAATTCATAGCAAATATACTTGAACTCTAAGTTCTGAGCCAGGGGTATACTATACATTAGTGTGTACTGGCTATTCACCCTTGGTTGGAATTTTCTTTCCCAAATAATATCTGTTGTGCACTCACTGTGAAGAATTCTGTTCTAAGTACTTATACAGCCCTATTAGCTTTCGGCTAAAAGATGGGGGGAATTGACAAAAGAGAGTAAGTTCATGTGCAGGGGGCATGAGCCACAGTCACCGAGAACTAACCCCAGTTTCTCTGGCTCAGAAACCTATGTCACCATTCCTCCACAGTGTCTCTCTCCAATTGCTGGAGGAGCCAAAGTCCCCTCCATGAAGTTTTCCTTGGAACACGAACAGCCCCACGTGGAGACGAGGGCCTGTGGTAACTGACACATGTGATTGGAGTCCTAGCTGTCTGACCCTCTTTCCACACCCACACGTGGCTGCCCACGAGCAATAACAGTATCCTGTGCCGGAGGCCCTTAAGATTGAACTTCTTCTTGTTGGTGGAGGAGCACACCTAGTGTACATGGTTCGGCAGCTGCCCTGTGCACTCTGGTAGTGTATTGTAAGTGGCAGGGTACCCCATGGTTTCCCAGACCAGTTTTGTAACAGTTCTGTGTATTTTTAGAGACAGGGTCCTTTTCTTCTGGAGACTTCCAGTGACTGGTGATTTTTTTTTTTCACAAAAATGACCTCAGAGTCTAAGTTACAGAGAAGCTAGGTGGGTTTGAGTTTGTGCGGGCTGTATCTGTAATCTGTCTTAACACTGTAACAACGTACTTACCTGCTGGCTGCCTCTCTCCCTTGCAGAGGACCAACAAGCCTTCCACACTCAACTACCAACAGTGAGCGATGAGCCTCCCACAACCCTGAGCCCTACACCATGTCCCACATGTTTTTGTGACTGCCTGTGGTAACCTGGGAAGAGAAGTTGTAAGGATCCCTGAGCAGGGCTGTGCTTGTGGGCGGCTTCTACATCTTCCCAGACACAGGGCTAAAGGAAGCCAACCGGGGCCTGGGGGTGGGGGAGGGGTTGTGCTTACGGTGGCCCCTGAGGTGGCCTGATGTGCCCTTCTTTGCTGCAGTAGCTCTTTCACTGTCATCTTCACTCGGACACCTTGATACACCTTCGGTTTTTCTGCAGGAGAGGCAACCGGGTGAATATGGTCAACCCCAAAGTTTGGGTATCTAGGGGTATAGCGAGGGTCCCGTTGTTAAGGCTAGGTTACCCATGGCCGAGTTTCTTCTACCTTGCAGAACACAAAGAGAGTGAGAGAGAGAAAGTGAGGGAGGGAGGGAGAGAGGGAGGGAGGAAGGGAGGAGAGAGAGAGAGAGAGAGAGAGAGAGAGAGAGAGAGAGAACTCTCCCAAACTTGAAAAGGTGCAGACAAGCTTCAGGGTCTTAGTGGGAACAGTTCCCATGGGCATCTGAGAATCTAAGAAGTCATTCACCCCTGGCTGGGCCTCATTCTTAGTTCAGTACAAGTTGTGCTGTTCTGGAATGTGGAGGCAGGTTCAGCAAGCCTACTATTTTGGCTAAGACAGTAAAATCTGGGGTTCTGACTGAGCTTGTGGACCTGGGGGAGCTCTCTGATTCATAGCAACTGACCTCCCATACCTCATCATAATGTGAGGTACATATTGTGAGACCTCCTCTGCCCCCACTGTATTCCTCCTCCATCAGGCCAGACATGGCTTCTGGGGAGGTACAGCCGTTAGTTGTGGTGCCCTTGGTCTGGAATTCCCCGCCTCCCCACGACAAGCAACAGGGATCTGGGCAGCCTGTCCAGACCCTGTGAGGTACTTTGGATTGACCCCCAGAGAATTTCCTCTTGTCAGCCCTTTTCTTTTTCTAATTCCCCTTCTTTCTCATCCCCTTTCTCCTTCCATTCTCGGACCCTGTAGCTTTCTTTCCACTCCTTCGGTTTCTGGGACAGGTACTTCTCAGAGAACTGGGCTGTGGAGATTTCTCCAGCAAGAGCTGCAGTTCTGAGTAAAGGCATCCCGAGGCTCCCTAGGACCGCGCAGTCGCCTGGAGGCCGCCCTCCGGAAGGGGCCGCCCCTGAGCCCGCAGAGCTGGGCCGGGTGGCCTGGGAGAGCCCAAGTGGCCCGCCGCGCTAGGCGGGGGGTCGGCTGGGAGGGACCTGTGACAGCCTGGGTGCAGAGCGCAGTGAGTAGGTCTGGCTGGTTGTTAGGCCAGGTTAGACCGGGTAGATGCCCTTTCCAAGCGGGGTTTGTCGAAGAAGTCCAGGGTGACTCCCGCCTCGACCTTGACCCAAGAGCAAGCGCTTGGGAGCAGCACGGGGAGGGGTGGAGCGCAGTGGTCCCTGGCCTGGGTATCTGGCGACAATGCCAGGCCGCCAGCGCCTCGCCTGGTTAGTGCTGGGACCGCGGCTGGACAGCTGGGAGACCCCCACCCACGAGCCAGATCTGAGAGCTAGGATCCCACAGGAAAGCCTTTGCGCGATTCTTCTTCCCGATCCTGGGAATCGGATGTCCCGCCGCAGTGCCAGGGCGCGCCCTCTCGGCTCCGGTCTCCTTCCCCCATCCCCCTCCACCCCCATCCCCACTGCCTGGCTTCGCTCCGGGGATCTGTAGGCTGCGAGCGCTGCCTTGGGGGTCTACGCGGAGACAGCCCCAGCCCAGCTCTCTGCCGAATGCGTCCTTGCTCCAGTCCCGGGCTCACGGTGAGCCTCTAGCTCCCCCCGCCGCCGCTTCTGGGCGCACATGATCCGAGCCTGCAATTCCCAGGACGCCAAGGTGGAAAAGTGAAGGGGCAAGCAGAGGCCTGGGGTACGCGATTGTCCTGCACAACCAGGTGGGCCTTTGGGCCTCTGCCCTTACCCAGCGGGAGCCGACACAACGGGCCCGCGCCCTCTCTGGATCCATGCCCGGCCCTGACTATCCTGCTCTGACTCTGTGACTCTCTGTTATACGCAGGAAAAGCAGAGGAAATACACCGGATCCAAGTGCCCCTGGCCCTCATGACCCGACCCCTGGAGAAGCAGTCGAGTTACCCGACATCGTGGTCAGCAGGAGCTGGGCTGGAAACTGGATGCTGCAGCTGCAGAGACTCAGCACCTAGGAGGGCTCCTGTGCAGGGAGAAAGGCAGAGATGCGACATTTTTAAAGTTTCACAAAACACGAGGCAGCATCCAGGTCCCTGGAGCAGGAGATACACAGAATTAATGTTTTATACCTTCGGGTATAGGTTTGAGTTTTTCCCCCCTCATGCCAAGTATTTAAAACCTCTAGAAACCCATGATTTGACAATCAATGATTGCGCGATACTTTCAATTTGAATATTCAAAGGCTTAACAAAATGGCCTATCTTCTGCAGAAATCCTGCACACAGGCACCCCA